TCCCCGTGGAGATCCGGACCCTCACCACCCTTCCAGCTTTCCGTAAAGCCACTAAGACCTGGATCTTCCGGCAGGCCTGTGGCTGATGAGTTCCTGGCCCCACTTAAACTGTTGTGACTGTTGCTCTGTTTTTATTTGCCTGTTTTGTCTTTTGTTTGTATTCTCCTTCCCCTATTGCTTGTTAGCCACCCTGAGTCTCTTGGGATAGGGCGGCCTACAAATGAAATAAACATACAAACATACATACAAATTGTTATCAGCTCTTAATGACCACATAGGTAGATTTTCTTCATGATGGTCTGTCCCCAACCTGGTTCTTCAGCTCTTCAATGACTCCTCCAGTCCCACTGTAAATGAGTCTATATATCTTCCTTTGCCTGTCCTTCTCTTTTCTTCAACCTTTGCCAGCATTGCAGCCTTTTCCAGAGAGCTGGGTCTTTGTATAATGTGTCCAAGGTAGGATAGCATGAACCTGATTATTTGTGCCTCAAGTGAGAACTCTGGGTTGATTTGTTCAATGATCTATTGGTTTGTTTTCTTGGCTGTCCATGGTGCTACTGTTTCAGGAACAATTATTTTATTCCAAACGTTAGGGACAACAGTACTATCCATCATATTCATCTTAATTTTTCAGTCCACTGGTTTCTGAATTTTAAGTAAATCTTGTCTGTGTTGAGTAAGTGGCAAAATTAACTTGCAGAAAAGCCAACCGTTGTTCAGGTTCTGCTTTCTCCCAAACACCATGCCTTGAGTTTCTTTCCCCAAACAGCAGGTAAATATGTTTGGCTAGCTGAGGAGTCTGAAGGGGCCAGTTAAAACGGACAGCTGTCCCTTGAAGCAGCATGGAAGTTTTGGGTGCCATCATTTCTCAGGCAATTTATGACAGCTTGCATTGTGTGGAAAGAATTTTGACATTTGAGGGCACCTGGGGTGCGCAGCTGCTGCTCTTTAGTGGTGGTGAATTTATTATATGTTTGGAGGTTTGAAGAACTGTAATTATTTTGGATATACTGAAGAGTGTTCCTCCAAAGGAAGTGCTTGTGTGATGAGCTATTTTTTTAAAAACACGCACAACACATTTTCTAGCTGATTTCATTCCTACCTGTCACTTTCAAACTGCCTAAAGGTGCTTGCTTTAATAAGGACTTGATTCTCAAGTTGTTCTTTCTGTGTGTTTGCGTTTCAATCTGTCCAAGGGTGACAGAAACCTGTTATTAGCAGGCATCTCCCAATTATCTGCTAATTGGCTTCTCAGCAGACTTTCACAGAAAAAGTTTGTGCATATATATGTCATCTTGGTTGCAAAAGAATATCTTTTCAGCAAAGGTGTAATGTTAATTCACATCAATCTTCCTCATGGTTCCCTTGTCCCCTGAAGTAGCTATTCCACCATGACAGAGGGAGAGAAAGAAAGCATGGTTACTCTCAGCCTTCTGAGGATCCAGCTTCATTAGGAATTGTCCATTATTCTGTGGCACAGGAAAGATTAAGACAGTTTTAATATCAGCAATAACTACTTGATCTTTCTTATTTTCCTCCTTACCCCATCACCTTTGCTCACATTTGCCTTGTACTTTTCTTAGATACTAAATCCAAGGGTAGAGATTGTCTTTTTATTGAGTTATACATACCACTTGGTATACATTTAGTTGAAAGTAGATATAGCATTTGCTATAGATATATTATTTGCTGCCAAAAATGATCTTTGCGCTACGCCAGTAATAAAATGCAAACACTAGGCAAATACACACAAATGGAGTCAAATGACAAATTGTCATGTAATGTGAAAGCAATGGTATGAAACTGATGCAGAGAGAGAACAAAATGAATTTAAAAAACTGACAAAGACAGAAAATTCATTTATGGCTGCTTGGAAATAATCTTCACTGTGTATAGTCAGATTTAAGGCTTGGTAAATTTATGTGAAATTGATTTAGCATATTGTTCCTTACATGGCAATAAGAATCCATTGCATGTAAAAGACATTTCTGAATAGATTAGATTGCTTTAAGAAAATGCATTCTACATTCTTAAAATCAGAAACTTTGGGTTCCTAATTATTGATATATAGAAAGTAAGGAATATGGTGATTATCACTCCTTGCTTGTTTGGATTCAGTTTTGTTCTTAAAAAAGAAAGAAATGATGGATAATAGGACATAGCTACTTCTCACATCTATCTGAGATCAGTTTATTTGGTATTAAAGCATTTGTAGGCCTACATTCTCTCTGTACCTCACCCCATCTCAAAATTGGGGAATCATAATGTTGAATATGATGAGTACACCGATATCTGTAGGGTTGATCAATAATGTCAAAATTTTGACATGTCCAAGTGTTTGACTCCCTGCTGCTTTTTGTAAGCATCAAAAAATGAGCAAACTTTGATCACCTGGCCACCATTTTTATCACCTTAACCTTCCCCCCCCCCCTTGTACCTCCTGGGATCGGAGTTCTTGTTCTCTCCTTTTCCTTTGCCCCTTTTCAATCAAACCTCAAACCTTTCTTTCCTCAGGGTCCTGGAAAGCAAAATACAATTTTGTTTCTTTTTGCTTAATCTTAGTAACAGCATTATCCAAGCAGTGTTTCACTCTATTGCCAACATTTTACAAGTGCAAGAAACTCAATTTTAAAGGACGACTATGATTATTATCATCTCCTCTGATCTAGGCTTCCCCAAACCACGAAGCAGACTCCTTGTCCTGACAAAAAACCCTTTTTATTAAGTTACTGTGAATTCCTCTGATTCACATCTGGCAAAGTCTTTCAAGGGTGAATTTACAGTCACAGACTTTATCTGGCTTGGAGAGCTGCTAGGCCAGTATCTTCCAAACTTGGCAAGGAGTCTCGGAGAGTCACAAACCAATTAAGCGAAATAATTGTCTCTTGCAAACTCCATTACCTTTTCACTCCTCTTTTATTTCCTCTGGAAGAGGCTATTCATCGTCCACCTGTGGCCTTACTCCCAAGTCAACCCTTGTTCCTTAGCTGCTCCCTTCGTTGGCAACTCTGTGCATGTGCACACTGGGATGTCTGATTGAAGGTAGCCGATAACTGTCAGGTGCCCCTGGCCCCATCTCTGCCTCTGATACAAAGCCTTCCCCCCACTTCCGGACTGGCCCATGTTCCTCCCCAACCTCCTCACTATCTGAATCTGCTGCCTGCTCCGCCGGCTGCTGGTGGGCCACAACATCATCCTTATTCTCATCCCTAAATACTGTGGTACTTCGACCTTTGTATGGCAATGGTAGATCTCAAAAGAACGAGTCGTTCAGGGTAAAACAAAATCTTTCTTTCAAAATCTAGTAGTCCTTCTTTGTTCTAAAGATTGTCCTGGGCTACCTACTGTTCTAGATTTTGCTTTTTCTGGTCTGCTGATTTTATGGAAGGTCTTAAATGGGCCAGAACACCTGAAGCAAGTGCTCTTGTACTAGTACCATATAGGGGCCTTGCGTGAATAGAAATGCTGCACAAATTCAACAGGTAATTCCACAAGAGTTGGACACTCAGTTCATAACTCATAATGAAAGTGAATTGATGTTCTGAAAATATCCTCAAGCAGAATCTTTTTATCCCTCCATGATACTAGGTGGCAGCCTGGGCTGGATCCTCCTGGTTCTCCAGGCACAGGTAAAGGATGCCTTTCCTCCCCTAACAAGCTTGGGCCCGGGGGATACCCACAAAAGGCCCTCTGTGAATATCTTAACATATGGGCAGCATAGATCAATTTACAATAGAAGCAACAGAGCTTAACTTTTGAGTTCATTCTGAAAACTTATACCATTTCTCAAATCAAAAGGCAGTCATTGTTTCACAACCAGCCTGTATCTTGAGATTGGCAGAGAGGTGTCAGTGGGATTTGACTTGGCTAAGGCTTGTTCCCCCCCCCCCTCCTGTTCCCATTCTTCTTCACTCATTCTGGGAAAACCAGATTCTTTCCTTTTCAGAACCTGTACTGGACTTGAATTGGAATTAATTTCTAATGGAACTGCTGTATTTCCTTGTAGCCCCCACGCCATCCTGGATCGTCTACGAATCAGAGTGAATAGGATTAGCTTGCAAGATTACGAGGGACTGCATTATGACAAGGAAAAACTCCGGGAAGTTTGTAAGTTATATATATATTTTTAAAAAAATA